GGGTAGGAGGGGAGCATTCCCGGCCCTGGAAATGGCACGCGTGTGTGTGTATAGGCATGCATGTTATACATGTTATATCAGTAGATACTGGAGAGTTTATCTGTGGGTCACTGTATTTGTGCCACCATGTAGGTGTGTGTATGAGGCCCAGGCCTAGGGGCGCCAATCAGTGTTCCTGAGTTCCAGGTGTACCTCACCCTCCTTTCCCAACCTCCTAGTCCCACTGCAGCTTGCGGGGAGCCAAGGGGTGGGAAACAGCACATGTCAGGGCTGCCAGCCGAGAGCAGTCAGCCCTGGGAGGGGTGCAAGAGAAAGGCTGCCTCCTCCCCTCCCCCTGGATGAACTAATAAGTCCCAGTCAAGCTATCCAAGGCAAGGTGTAGGGTCAGACCACAGGGGTCAGGCTGAAGAACACAGGGCTGGCTCATGTGGGCGGCGGTGGGGACATTGCAGGATATGATCCTTGTGTGGGAGTATAGAATGGGGTTAGATTAAAGGAGATTTAACATTATCTCTCAGGGATTGGCTGTAGTGTGGAAGTTTGCCCCATTCTTAGCTAGGGTTTTAGATGGGGAAAAGTTTGACCTAGATGAGGCTTTCAGTCAGCCTGCAGTGGCAGAGTGGGGGGGAGGGAGAGGAAGGGGAAGAGGGAGAGAGAATGATGTATTCAATGAATTGGGCTTGTCAGCTGATGGTGCTGGAGAGTTTGGGCCTACCGGGATGCCAGAGGCCAGGGGTCAATGCTGTGAGAACAGACATAGGCGGTTGGGAAACATGATTTTCCCAGCTTTTAGGTGAGGTCCAAGATCAAGAGCACTTGGCCAGGATTCAGTGGGCATTGGGACTGGGTAAAGGCAATTTAAGGTTAGGATAGGGTAAGGCTATAATTGGCATTGGGCTAGGTTAGCTTTAAGGACTGGATTACTTTTAAGGTTTCAGGTTAATTTATTGGGATTTGGCTGAGTGAGTGTGGTTGAGGTTTGAGTCCAGCTGGGAGATGTGGTTAGGTCTGAGCAGGCAGAGGGTTGGCTGGGACTAAGGTTAGTGAGTGTGTTGATTCAGATTTCAGATAGGGTGATGCATGGCATGTCACTAAGAGTAAGCCTAGTTTGGATTTTGAGCTTGGTTAACTTATGCAATGACATGTTTTTTAACAGAAATAAGCTGGATATGGGTTTAACTATGTGACTGTACTTAGACTTAGGATAGGTCTGGAGTTAAGACTAGGTTGTTTACAGTCAGTCATAATGCTGGGTCGGGGTTTTAGAGAGGGTAATATAAAAGGCCTCTTACAGAGTGTAGGGGTCAGGTGGGGACTTCTGCAGTGTCCCCAACTGGTCAGCCTGGAGTCTTTCAGATGCTGGACTGGCTGGCTTTACTGATGGAGCGTGGGAACAGGGGTGCTGCTAGTCTCAGGGACCCTGCCCTCTTGGGTGAAGGGCTCCTGGTCTGAGTGTTTTACACACACATGTTTTAGGACAGAGAGCAGGGTAAGGCATATAAGTGCTCCCTGAGGAGACAGGCTTCCCTTTCCTCCCCCTTTCCTCTGCAGCCTGTGCATCCCCCAACGCTCCTTCCCTTATTCTTTCTTCCCATTAGAGCTCCTGCTGACTGAGCTCCTGCTCCTTCCTAGTGCCCATTCTTCACATCCCAGGACAACTCCAGGCCCTTCTCTGCACAGAGCCTGGGGCTGCTCTTAGCCTGGATATCTGACTGAGTTACTCCTAAGACCCCACTGGTACAAGGTAGGGTTAGTTTTGGAGGTCAGACACCTGCTGAGGTGATCAGTGGCCCTTCCAGCCTTGAGGTAGCTTTCAGATTGAGCCTGGTCTCGCTGGCAGTAGCAATGCAGAGGGTCCTGACTGAGGCAGGAACTGGGAGCTGGGCTGGCCTCTTTACCCAACCCTGCTTTGGGCAGCCCTGTTAGATAGGAGTTCTGGGACGGGGCTCTGCTTACTCCATTGGTGGGGGACAGTCAGGCACCCAGATATGGGTCTTGTTTTCCCCCTCCCCTTCTGGGCCCTGTGGGACATCCCTGGGGAGTACTGTCTCCCTACACAGGGACAGCAGGGAGAGAGGGGAAGAAGCCTTTGGATAAACAAGAGCTAAGTCATCTGGGCAGAAAAACGGCTCATGAAATTAACCAGACAAGGCCGGTGTTTCCAGGAATATTTCAGTTCTGAGGTAACTGTCACTGTGTGTGTG